TCTGCAAAATGTTGTTGCCTTGCAAGAAAAGGAAATGTTCAGTTAACAGGGAAAATGTATATGAGAGGCTTCGTACAAGGCAAGGACAATTGCAGTTCCCTTATTTATTTTAAAAGGAAGTGATAGGGGCAATCGAGGGGAGAAATGGTTATATATTTGCAGCCAAGAAGGGCAGCTCACAATGGACATTAGATCCACCAAAGCAAGCTGCTAAAGTGAATATATCTTACCGAATTGTAAAACGTGCTTCCTAAAGATGTTTGAAAGTGAGTTCAGAAGCCAAAAGACAGAAGAAAGTCATTTTCATTTAATACAACTTTGACACAATTTGAAGCTTGGTTTGCGATGAGATTAGGATGATGTTGTGTGGTAGTAAGTGTTTTTATTCATGTCTAGGGAGCCTGCAATGCAGCTTACAGGCTTGTGTGATAATCTTCTGCATCATTCTCCACTAATACAGGAAGATTATGATCACCAGAAAATATATCACAACATTTTCTGTGTTTTCAAGAGGACAAAGGGGAGATTTGCATTCGGGATGCAAGGCTGCTGCAGCCATGATAAAGCTTAGTTCTCTCTCCATAAGAGCTGTCAGATTCAATATATGAAGAGCCCTTGCAGAGCCCATCTGATGCACTACATCTCACTAGTGGTTTCAAATATGATATTCATACCCCTGTTAGTGAGCCATGTCACGGAGCACTCCTCATATATATTTTGATGAGGCATGGCAGCAGAGGAGAATGAAAAGTGGGCTTCTCTTTAAAAGGACCTGTAATGGGCCCATCAAAAATTGGAACCAGGACTGAAGGAAGATGAGCAGATGAAAGGAAAGTGACACTAAATGCTCCTTTTTGCAGGACTTAGCTAACTACTGATTATGGAACATCTTCATCAAGATAATTCTTAGTATTTTCAGCAAAATATTTGATGTATTCAGGAACACTTGCTAGAGACACTCTAATGTAGAAGCAGGATAGTTCAAACCCTTCAGATGTTTTTGAAACTGTCATCCTAACCATAGCCCATACTTATGGAATTTAAAAACTAAATGCATAAAAAATGGTACAGCCTCTCTAAAGTATTTACTGCTGTTTAACATATAAACAATACCATGCTGATCTTCATAGTTTGCTGAGATTTTGAATCCTCGAGAACCTACTTTTATTTTATTTTTTATGTCCAAACTTATTATTACCAATAGCTCATGTGTGAAGGAAAGTGTCCCCTCAAAAATTCCAGCCAGAACTAGAATCACAGAATAAAATCAGGATGTAGCACTTATTTTGCTTTCAACAGGACAGTGTTTTCTAGAGAAGACTTTTACTTTTAACTAAAGTAGTTGGTGGGAATGATTAATTTATGAGGAAGAGGTACATGTGAGAATGCCATTAAAGAAAATACTTAATGGTCTCTAAAATCAACTCTTTTCCTTTCCTGTTTTGGTTTTGCTGTTTTACCATGCAGGAGTATGATAAAATCCTCCAACGCAACTCCCGTGTAAGCAGATGTCCCCAAATTGATCCTAGGTGAAATATGCTGCCTTGAAGTGTGGTGGAGTCTCTTTCTCCAGAAGTTTTTAAGGGGAGGCTGGATGACCATCTGTCAGGGGTGTTCTGTATTTTCCTACATGGCAAAGGGTTGGACTGGATGGTCCTTGTGTCTTCCACCTCTATGATTATATTACTTATGCACACATAAGTGACTCTCTGATAGGCTTGCCATAAGTTAGAAATGACTTGAAGACATGTAACAGAAACAAATTCACTAACAGGAAGACAGATAATGTGTATGTGTGTATTCCACATTTCAAAGCTGGAATGAGGGAAAACATCTTTAAATTATTATCTTAAGTTTACAATCAGGAATTGCACTGGTCTAGATATGTTTACAAATCAAAACTTTAAATTTAGTCAGTAAGTACACCAACAAAGAACTAGATTTGCTTTATTAATGGAGTGTTTACTTTGTCAGCCCAATTTTGGATGTTCCCCTTAAAGAGTAAGAATTTGAGGCTGGGCTGCATTACAAAGAATACCATGAATGGACTAAATTGTTTACTTTACCTGTGGGAAATCCAGATGCAAAATTGCCCTTGATCATAAAATTCAATGGGTGGTCTATCAGTCTATTTCAAACACAGTAAAAGCCATATATGAACTCCTTGGAGGAACAGCAAGACATAAAATAATAATCTTGCCTCTATCCTCTCAGGTCTTGTTTAATGGGAAACACATTAACTGACTAGAGCAAGAGGCTTTGATTATGAGTCTCCTGTATGGTTCTTTTCCTTTTTGATCAAATGAGAGAAGGAAAAATGTGATTCGGGTTTCCTCACTCATTGTTTCAATTGTTGAATTTAATTTAATTTATGTCCCATGTTTCTCCTAACTGGTGATACATAATATAAATTCAAACAAAATAGTGTTAAAACAGTGAGCAATAGGAAAGTTTTTTTTTTAAAAAAAGATACAATTAAATAATCATGTTTAAAATAATAATTTAAAACAATGTGAAACAATGTTAAACGATTTTTCTGTAACATGTAGTTAGCACTCAGAGACATGAAGAAAGAATAGATTTCTTCACCTGTAGGCTGACAAAGAGCAGAGAGAGGCTAACCTAGCTTCCTACAGAAGGAAATTCTGTGCTTATACAAAATATTTCCTCCTTGATAATTCTATATAAGTTATACACCAGATGATATTGTTGTGCAGCATTTCATGTTATAATGTACATCAGGTATCAAAAAATACCTTATGGTAAGAAAGATTTCTCTGGGTTTGAACAAATGCCAAACCAGCTTGATTCTTGAAATCATAATCTTTCTTTTGAATAATTTGATAATGTGCAAATGAAAGAAATATCAGAGGAACACAGCATTCTGGGATGTGGTTGTGTCTGTGCATACAAGGACTTGCTATGTTCACCTAAACAGGCCCAGAAGAAATGTTAACCTTGAAAGATGAAGAACAAATCAAATTGCAAATCATCTGTATTCCAGAGACACCCTAAGGTGTTTTACTGCAAGCGATATTTTGCTGTGCAATAAATGTGACATCTAAAAGAAACTCGGGAGAGAGTAGCATTTATTTGCTTTTAGATGAGATTTTGTTCATCTTGTATCATGGCTGTAGAGCTGAAACCTGTGGAAGACATCTACAATGTTTCATTGAGCAAAGATATTTGAGGTTGCTTCCAAATCAATCCTTGAATGAATTTAGCCCTACAATTTTAAAACATATTAAGCTCTGCTTTGTTTGGGTTCATTGGCTCCCAGCCCACATCAGAGTATTTGAGATTGCTCCTTCTCCCTTATCAATCTATCCAGTCACTGAAACTATTGGAAGAAGAGGTTCCTTATTAGATTATTTGGAAATTATTCAGAATAAATCTAATGGAGGGAAGTTGTAGGAAAACATGGGGGCATAATCTACTACAGTGGTTCCCAGCCTATGGACTGTGGCCCACTGGTGGACCGCGAGACCTAAAATAAGGCCCACAGCTCTAGATTATTAAATATGGTTTTCTTTGGGCAATCAAATGGCGACTACTAGATGGCATATGTTCTGTATCAGAAACTAGAGCTAATGTGGTCTATCCAATGCAATTTTCTGACACAGCATGCCAAATAACCAAACTAAATCTAAAGTTGACCAAAATCTGATTCGTAACCTTTTTGATACTAATGTTGGAGAGTGGTCCCTGGTCAAAGTAGTCCCTGGTAAAGTAGTCCCTGGTCAAGTGGTCCCTGGTCAGAAAAAGGTTGGGAACCACTGATCCCAACCTGAACTACAGCTATTAATTGATAAAAATATGAACAAGTAAAGGGCACATTCTACAAAAACTCAGCTGAAATCCAAATTTATATTCTGGCAGAATTTTGCTTCGTCTAATTCTGTCAAAAGAGACTACAACAAAAAACAGAGGTCAGGAAATCCTTGCTATTGTTTTGATTTGGCTCCAAGTTTGAAGAGGGCTTTGCCAAAGTGCTTTTTGCCTTCATCATTCACCTGTTGTTAGCCACATGAACTGCCATGAGGTTATGAACCAACATTAGATTAGATTGATTTTACTAGCAATGATGAAATTTTATTGGATGGATTTGGATGACGTTTTAACCTGGCAAACTGTTTTAATGTATATTGATATTTAGTTTTTAGGCATTTGATTGTGTGATGTGTTTCATTGTTTTAGCATCGAATTGTTGCCTGTTGGTAGCCGTCATGAGTCCTTCCTCGGAAGTTGAGATAGGATGAGGTACAAATGTTCCAAAATAAGAATAATAAATATTTCAAGCTGATCCAGAATATCCACTATACAGTAGCAGCACACTATGTTTCATGTCACTATGGACATAATAAAATGTTGGCTTACTATGTCTAACATAGTATGGTATATTTATGAGACACTCTAAAGAAGGGGTTCTCAAGCTTTTTCAGCCGCAGAGCCCTTTTTAAAGCAAGAGTTTCTCATGGAGCCTAAAGAAATATTTACAAATTATATTTTATATAATGTATGTATATCAGGGGCTGGTGGCAGATGGAAGGAGAGTGTTTGTGTGAACTAATTCACACAGTGAAAACAAAAAAAGGCAAGAAAGAGAGAAAAACACTACAATATTTAAAATGAAGAAAAAAATTTAAGCAACATAACAGTATTTCAGTGAAAGACCCCAGGGGCCATCCAGTCCAACCCTCTTTTACCATGCAGGAAAAGGACTATCAAAGCACCCCCAAAAGATGGCCACCCAGCTTTTGTTATTATTATTATTATTATTATTATTATTATTATTATTATTATAGCAGAAACCCCAGGGACCATCCAGTCCAACCCTTTCTGCCACGCAGAAAAAAAACAATCAAAGTACCTCCAACAGATGGTCATCCAAGCCTTTGTAGTAGTATTAGTAGTAGAAACCCAAGGGAGGGAGGCACACTATTGCTGTTGCTGCTGCTGTTGTTTACAGCAACTCAAAACTTTGATTTCCTGTATTTCTCAGGAGGAGGAAAGAGGAAGAGGAGTAGAGGCGGCCCTAGGTAATTTTCAACGGTAAGCAAACAGTATTTTGCCCCCCCCCCAACCAATCACTGATATATATTTTCTGTTTGTCATGGGAGTTCTGTCTGCCATATTTGATTCAGTTCCATCATTGGTGGAGTTCAGAATGCTCTTTGATTTTAGGTGAACTATACATCCCAGTACCTACAACTCGCATATGTCAAGGTCTATATTCCCCCAAGATTGCCTCAAGAACATCCCTGGGAAAAATCAACTATACTGCAAATGCTTACTTTGCGTAGTGGGTTGGGCCGCCCCTGAAGAGGAGGCAAGCATCATGGCACTGCAGAGTCCCTCACTATCGCCTCCAGAGCCCTATGGGCTTCCCGGAGCACAGTTTGAGAACACCTGCTCTAAAGTATTATGGATTTTTTAAAATGGTGGCTTATAGCTTCTCACCATTCATTCATTTACACTGTAGAGCCAAAGTAGTTTGACTTTAAGTGTCATGGCTTTTTTTTTTGTTGTGTCAGGAGTGACTCCTGGTGTGAGAGAATTGGCCATCTGCAAGGACGTTGCCCAGGGGACGCCTGGATGATTTTGTTGTTTTTATCATCCTTGTGGGAGGCTTCTCTCATGTCCCCGCATGAGGAGCTGGAGCTGATAGAGGGAGCTCATCCACCTCTCCCCAGGATTCGAACCTGCGACCTGTCAGTCTTCAGTCCTGCCGGTACAGGGGTTTAACCCACTGCGCCACCGGGGGCTGCCCAATAGCATGTAATCCTGGGGTCTATAGTTTGGTAAAATACTAGGACTTTTTGGCAGAGAAGGATAAAACCTTGTAAAAATATAACTGTCATGATTCCAAACCATTGAGCCATGACAGTTAAAGTGATTAAAGTGCTGTCAAACTACATTAATTCTACAGTATAGATGCATGTGTCACTGCAAGGAGACCCTGCTTGACTTTGCTACCTGAAACTGATACTCTGGAGTTTCTTGCCAAGCTTAGTTCTATCTCTGATTGCTCCTGACAGCTATAAACTCTGCCTGCATATGGATCATGGACATGAGCATCAGGCTGTCAACAGGAAAATAGTACACACAATGTAATTTTCAGGAACTATCACAAATATAATAGCTGTACAAATCAAGCCAATGCAAATCAGAATGACTTTTCCAAAATCTCAAAACTCATACAGTTTCATTTACAGTTTGCCATAAAAGTGTTTCTTTCAGTAGGTTAATTAGCAGCCAACACTGCACCTCAGATTAATCTAAATTCAGAAATTTATTGTGCTATTGCAGTTAATTTGAAGTGACACATGGGTACCTTTCTTATCGCTTTAGTGCAAGCAACATCTTGCTATTTCACAACCTTGCCTCACAGAGGAAAAAAGTCACTCTTTGTTGCCAATCCAATTAAATATTTCCATTTTATTTCCCACAGTGAAGTTGGAAGTTATTTTTTTTCCTTTGAGAAGGGAAGAAAGGAATAGTTGTGATTTTGAAGGAAAAGACATTGAATAAGTTAATCAGTTAATAATATTATGAGATTTTATTTAATATTCATCAATGACTGAGGATCTAGAACTTCACTTATTTCATTTTGGTACACAAGACTTTCAAAAGTTTTCTTCCCGATGGATACAATTATAAAACATTTTGGACAATTTTGGACAATGTTTTGTATGTTATTCCATTTTATTTGAACATCCTTGCATAACCAGTTTCACCCCCAAAGAAGAGCATTTTATGCAAAATACACTATTTTCTGCATAAAGCAATATATTTTTGTTCAAATTATTTGTTTCAAACAGAAACATATTTCTGCAGTTAACCTTCACTGCAAAATACTCATGGAAGACAAAAAAATTATAAGTATTCTTCACATTTGCAATCATGAAAGGTTGACGGCCTTGAATTCCTTTTCCATATTCAATTACAAAGAAATGTGCAGACCATCATTCACAGATCATGCCATGCAGTCAGAGGATGTACAAATATTATTTGTATGAGAGCCTGAATACAGCTATTCCTTGTTTCTGTTCCAATCATAAATTAAAGTAGTACACAATACTGAAAACACAAACAAAGCATGTAAAAGATGCATAGGTGACAGGATAACCAGTTCTAGTTTTCCTCTCGGAACCCAAAAAGTTGACAACCTGATCTGGCATACATGATCATGTGTTTTATAGATCTGTGCTATATATTTTTTATTTGGATTTAAAAAAATATATGGATTTAATAATGTTTACAAAATGTCATGACAAATACAAAACAGACATTTATCTTTTATATAAATCTGGGCATAGTCTATTTGCCAACCAGAGCCAGATATACTATTGTGCTTCCTGCAAAACAAAACAAAACAAAACAAAACAAACAAACAAACAAAAACTGATTGGTGCACTTCTAAATTTGAAGGCATTCTGTTTCAGCGTGATTCTAGACATTATGATAGAGTTGGTAGTCTATGGGAGTGTGCCACGAAGCAGGAAGTGTAGAACTACTGGGATTACTTCCTTCAGGGCCCAAGCCACTGGCTGCCAGTCTGCTACTGAGCACAATTTAAAGTGCTGGCTTTAGCCTATACATTCCTAAACAGTTCTGGTCCAGCTTACCTATCTGAACACATCTCCATTTATGACCCAGTTAGAGTACTAAGATCAGCTGAGGAAGTCCTGCTCTTGGTCCTGCCGCCATCACAGGTGCAATTGGTGGGGATGAGAGACAGGGCCTTCTCAGCGGTGGTCCCTTAGTAGTGGAACTCCCTCTCCAGGGAGATTAGATTGCCCCTTCCCTCCTAACCAACTTGGTTATGCAAACAAGCATTCAGTGAGTGACAACAATGTAGCAGGTGGATGGCAACCTTGGATTCAGTGCAATGTTAACATGTTTATGTTTGATGGTTTATAGTTTTTAATTACTTAATTTATAGTTATATGCTACTGTTTTAGTTGCATGATATACTGTTTTATTGTATGTGAGGCACTGAATTTTTGCCATTTATTTGATGTGAACTTCTTTGAGTCCTCCCAGGGGTAAGAAAAGCAATAAATAAATAAATAAATGGCCTCCGAACTTAACTAGCACAGGGCCTCAATAATCCTAAATATGGCACTGCCGGGCTTTGGCAGAAAACAATAACAAAGCCTCAACTAAAGAGAAACCAATTTCTGACCACTAGTGACCTAGCTAACGAGGGAATAAAAGTCTCAAGTTTGGGATGTGTAGTCAGCTGAAGCATCGTTTAGAATCACGCCAAGTTCTCATCCTTGTTTTACGGAAATCTTGCTTTGAAGTTTCATGCTAAGATATTTCTTGTTCATGGTTTTAGATTCCTGGATTTCATGATTGCTTACCCAAGGCTTTGATCAATGTATTCCTGATTGTTTTGGAGATGTGTGAACTTTGCTTTTATGGATGTTGCTGAACTCTACCTTGGACTAATTTGTTTCTTTTCTTATCTTCTCACCTAATTGGATTTATCTATTACTTTTAAGTGCTTTTACTTTGCTGCTTTTTACTTATCTTCAATAAAAGGATTGTTTTTTCCTATTCAACATGTGGTGTTTAAAGTCAGAGGGTTATTTCTGTTTTGGAATGCAACACAAGGGATGTAGGGCACAGAGTGGCAGCTTCTCCACACAGAATGCCAGGAGTCCATAGATTCACCCCGATGCAGGGCAAATCTATAGGCCTTTATGAAAAGGTCCTTAGTGGTAATGTTTTTTTCTGTTTCTACATGTATAGGGATTTTTTCCTCAAGTTTTGGATGTTGCAGCCAATCAAATTGGAAAATGGTATGAGTTGTACTATTGTATTATGGGATTAAAATAATGCAATAATAGTATCCTATTAGTGATACACATGTGTAACATGCATACACAGGTACATTTAGTTTGGAAACTGCATAGGAAGCTATCCACAAGCTGTGTTATTGAAGGCTTTCATGGACAGAATCACTGGGTTGCTGTGAGTTTTCCAGGCTGTATGGCCATGTTCCAGTAACATATGCACAAGCTCCTTGTTCACTGCTCACTCTTTAGCGTCTACAAAGAGCTTGTGATTATATCTGACTGGATGGATTCAGACAACTGAAAAGTATTTGGCCTTGGATGCAACTGTATCTGAGGGGGGAATAAATAAGTTTAGACATCCAGATGGAAAGAAGTGTTTCTTTAATGCTGCTGAAAGGCTCGGAGCTGTATGTGCATCTCAAGTCCAACATCATATATAGGTTTTTTTCTCCGCAGTTCGTTCTTGACTCTTGAACCAGCACCATAATAGATAAGAAGCAGTGGACTTTATTACATGAGATTGGTAAACTGCCATTACATCAGGCTTGGGCTAGTATATATCAATGTTGCATGTATACTGTAGCTACTTTGCATTTTACTCATTAGTGAGGTACCTTTTTTCATTGACAGAGAAAGCCTGTAAATGGCTCCCAATATCTATGCTGTTCCAATACTGTCTCATTGCAGGCACCTTTGTTGATGCTGCAAAGACATTCAGTAATGGCCAGAAGCTTTCCGAAACTTTCAAACCTCTTCCAAACCATTGTTCTAAATTTCCTATCCTTCCAGCAGAGTCATCCAGGTTCTAAATACTGTTCAGTCCATAAAAATCAATTTGCTGTCCTTCCAACACCTGACTTCATTTCTCCATCTTCTTCCTCCGAATACATTTTTCCCTCAACCTCCTGTTCTTCTAATAGCACCAGTCAGGTTTTATATTCCTTCCAACTCAACAATCTAATTTCTTCCGGCAAGGTGATTAGCGATGCAGTACAGAAAAATGATTGAGGAATCCTATATCACAAAAGCAACACTATAGCTCAATTTCAGAGAAGCTTGATAGCAATTGTTCCCATCCTGATACATTTCCATTTGCTTAAACAATGCCATTGCTGCAAGGCATGCTGGCATGATATAAAAACCAATGACTACGTCAAGGGCATTGTATGTGGGATGCAAAGTAGTAGCCAAGTGCTCCAATAAAGTTAATGATGACTGCCAAAAAGGAGGGGGCAGAAAGGGGAT